AGACAGAAAAATCATTATTATCCGGTTTCACTTCATTTTAATTCTAGTGGACATAATATTACAGATATGTCTTTTTCTGGTGTATGTGTTGTCAATGGCAACGAAAATCAGCTCAGGCGTGTCGAGGAAGAAACTATATTCCGCCTTGGAACTAAAGAACCCCATGGTATTAACAAACAGTTCAACTCATTTGTTGAGCTCACTACCTAAGGTGCGTTATTTGTTCTATTGTGGAATTTTTTGTGATTCTAACTTATAGTTCATGCGCGTTCTTATGTTCCTATGTTCTACCTATACATTATTACACTTTCTTCTATGCTATCGATAAAGAGCCATTGCTCGAAACGTCTAGCTATTTTTATTAGTTATTTAGGACTACGATTACCAAATATTATCTTCTCTCTCAGATCTGTTTATTTCGTGATGATATCTTTAATTCTGATGAATATTTTTGTCATTTTCGGTAAAAAGTGATATTTTCGACTTCTTGTTAAAAACTACACGCCTGCTTGCTTTGATACTTGGTGTACATGTACCTTGAGTAAACCCCACTTAGATTTGTTTATTTTATGATGATATCTTCAATTCTCTAATTTTGATGAATATAATATTTTTGACTTCTTGTTAAAAACAGTCTGATTTGATATAATACATAAAGATACTACAGGTGGACCTCTCTCAGATTTGTTCATTTTGTGATATCTTTAATTGTGCACTGCAAACAGAGCTATCTCAGCTGAGAGGCTACTTGTTTAAGCCATGACAGCATTAGTACAACTACTGAAAAAATCCCATAAACTTGTCAAGTCTATCGACTGATAAAACTGGTAGATTAGTGGTTGTTGATCTTGACTTGAGGTTGAGGGTTAACGGTTCTTACGGGTAGAATCAACTCCACAATGGAACACAATGAGAATCTTTGCAGTTGGAGTGTCTGTTCCACTGATATCTAAAGAACCACTTTTGATGAAACTTAGTACATTGATGCTTTGGACTAATGTGCAGATTTGATTAGTTTTGGGTTGTAATCTGTGCATATTAATTACCTAATTTGCATGATTCACCATTTTTTTAACAGTTTGTTCGACTGATGGAACTTTGCAGATGGAGGCTTTAGGTCAAGCCGATGCCTGTATGATAATTAAACATCACTCAGACCATAGACCCTCCAGTAGAGGGTCTATGCACAGACCTAATTAGTTTTAATGCATAATAATCACCCAATTTTCTACATTTCAATTATACTAAAGCATACCGATTACCTAATTTGCATAATATGTATTATGAACAAATTGCTTTGGGGTAATCCATAGATGTGATTTGTTGTATGTCGAAAAACATGTACAGTATATTATCAGCCAATTTCTGGTATCCCCAAAAATTCAGATTTAAATTGGGGTTGATGTGCTCTGGAATAAATTAGACTCAAAACCTCAGATCTAAAATTAAATTTATTTTCTCAATCTGTATTAAAATATAAACTTCAATAATGTGGATCACACTGTTTTCATGTTGCGCATCTCAAATAAATAAATATTAGATGTCAAGCTTCTCGTTTGAAAGGATAATCTCAAATTACTTATTACCGGTAATATGCCTCAGCACACAAGAGTTCTTTCTAAGCATTCTTCGAGTTTTGACATGTGTGAAATGCACAAATGGGCACCATTTTGAATCAAAACTGTACCTTTATCATACGACTAGCTATCCTCAGTCTGTTCCACTGATGGTTCCACTTGGTACAGGGGTTCTCTGGGGAAATCCATAGAAGTAATAAGATGAGGGTTGAAATCCGTGCTAGTATGCGAAATAATTACCCATTTTTCAGCGGTATCTCAAGAACCAAATGGATCTCAATGAAACTCTGAACACAGATGCTCTGCAATAGTCTTATGCGATTAGTTTACTATTCATATTGCAGCTTGTAAATCGGGAATTTAACACACAACACAACATGATTTAGCACCATTTTGAATCAAAGCTGTACCTTTATCATACGACTAGCTATCGATTGCTAGGCAAACAAAGCAAAAAATAGGGATTTGGCCAACTTTTTTTTTTATGGAAATTTTATGGAAAATTTTGAACCAGACTATTTTTCTGGAAATAGGCCTTAACCATCTACATGGTACTCAAAATACAGCTGTGAGAATCATGGAACATTCCAGAAAGTCTGCACATGTATGGAAAACCAGGCCCAACAGTATCTTCATTGGTTGCCAGTTCATTATAGGATTTAACAAAAATTATTCCCACAAAACCACCCCATGTTATATTTAGGAACTCATTCAAACCACAGTTGGTTGTGCTCTTTGATCTGTCGATAACTTATCTGTACGTACAAACGAGTATTGAATGGGGTGGTTTTGGTGCTTTCTCATGATGCACGTCAACTGTGGAACTCGCTACCATTGAACAGACCAATAAAATAGGTACGCTATCGTTGAAGGTTATTTATGAAGATACCACAAAGTATGCACAAAGAACAGTATCGACCACATGCTGTCCAGGTCCACATGGTATCCTCACAGTAACCTTATACATTTTTCCAATTCAACAGATTGGTGTGGGACGCTTAGAACCGAGTAAAATGGTGAAAATTATTGGAACTTTCACACTATGAACTTAGTTTTCAAAACTTCTTGGAAATGCAGCCTAATCGTTTCATATATAGAATTTTAATTTCCTAACAAGGCAAGATGCACTACAAAATCACTGCATGCCGTGACTTACGAGGAATATTGTAACATGCATAGTAACATTAAAGATCACAAGCTATCATTTCATTAGTGAAGCTCTCGCCAACAAGGTGGTTATGATAAACATGTTGCGTACACCTGTTTGCCATCATATGCATAGAACTACTTTATTTCACATGACATGTATGCGCAAGTATAATATTACAATGCAAATCATTTATTGATCCGAATATCTTTTCAACTACTTGAATGTGACTAATTGGTGTACGGCGATTCCACATGTGGAACAAGATGTGCTCGCTCTTTTGAAAACACCAGACATCACCTCATGGTTATATACCTCTGGACCATTTATACATCTGACTGATTTGACCATGCTGTGTAATGTATTTGTGTTAATGAACTTGTATACCTTGCTCCCTAATGCAAATATTGATCGTTTTTCTATGTGAGGGTATGTTATTTCCACTTCATTGAAGACAGAACACAATCGTTTGCTTGTGTCACATCACTGCAGTTGAGTCAAAATACAAGGCAGAATTTGATAGTCGAAAAAAAACTCAAACAATCTGCTTTCTGATTGGTCTAACTTTAGTGTTAGGTTGCCAATTAAGCACAGGGTTCTCACCAGCCTGATTAATATTCATGAGCTAAAAAATATTCATTTTGCCATCTTATTAGTTACAATTTAATTACTTTAACTTTTATTAGCCCCCCACCTGGACAAAGTCCGGGAGGGGGCTTGTAGTTTCACCTTCATCAGTCTGTCCGGAATGATTTCTTAGAAATGGCTGGACCGATATTTTTTGAAACTTGGTACAAAGACATAGTGGTCAGCCATACATACATGTGCACGTCAATTTATTTTCTGATTTAATAAAATATGGCCAACTGGCGGTAATTTTTAATGCCAAAATTCAGTCAAATTCGGTCCTTGTGTGTCCATTGCCATTTCTCAGAGATGGCTTGACCGTTACAAAGACAAAGGGACCACCCATACACAGATGTTTTACTTTTTTGAAATGATCAAATTTGATTGTTAATCATGGCTTTTGTCTGTCCACTGATATTTCTCAGAGATGCCTCGACTGATACAAAGGACACAGTGAGGTATACATATT